GCTCGCGAAACTGCACACAAAAATCGAGTCAAAATCATGCAAGAGATTTACTTAAACAAGTCCTCGCCCTAAGCTAAATCTATCTACCTTCTCTCAGGGTGAAAGGGACGATCCGATGTCGGCAACAACAGCTATTAGTCTATTGTAGCTACCGTTCGTTGCAGATATACACACGGCACTCAGCGTGTGCCCTGTCACCAAGGCTGTCCCAACGGACGGCCAATACACTAAAAAATAGGGTACCCGTAGACACCCTACCTAAAAAATGTTGTACGCGTAGACACCTACCTGTTCGCGTCCTCGGAGATGCATTCCAACTCAACCGGTCGCAAATTGCGATATCAATGTGTAGACTATCCCACAAACAAAAGATCAGGGACTTTTATTTGCACGGCAATCACACTCGACAATTGAACAGCACGCGGAAGTACTCTGAACGCCCCCCGCTAAAAAAATAAAATAAAATAAGCCGAAAGGAGCCCCAAATCACATTGGTCGGTCGTTCCCGCACAAAGGTACATTCATTGGTCGAATCTTACATCATGCACAACGATAGAACACTTTATCCCCCCCTAGCTTGCGTGAACTTGCACCGGCCACGCCCATATGATTGCGTCAAAACTTCGTCTGACATGCGGTAGCCGCCTTGAATACAGAAACCAAATGGTAGTGCACTGCTGTACCGCTAAACAGAGGAACCCTCTCGGGAAAGGTCAACCCTCTTCTTGATCGCCCACTCCGAGTACAAGGGTGCCGTGTTTGTGTTTCGGCAAAATCACCATGAAAAGCCCCTGTGTTGCAGAGAGAAGCAAAATTGATCGCCGCGAAATGCTATCATACATCGTGTCGTCGATCGAGAGAACCGCCCGACCGTAAAATCCACCTCCTCCGCCTTGCAGCCGAAAATCGTCGCGCCTCTCCATGGGTGAAGAAGGACTCGACGATCATGCGCGCGCGCCGGGTGATGGGCCCACATGCCATTAAAGGCAGCGAAAACAAACAAACGAACGAACGCACGCAGCAGGCACCGAAGGCGACGACGCACGCCCCCCCCCCCCCGCTCTCACCGCCCGCGCTGAAGGGCGCGCGAAGCAAACCCCACCCGGCCGCCGCGGGCGTTGTCGCCTTCGGCGCCTGCTGCTGCCCCCCCCCCCAAGGGGAAACAAAACTCGCGCACACCCTCCCGCAACGGCCCCCCTGAACGTGGAAACGGCACACCAACCCCCCCCCGGCCCTCTTCCGCGTGCTACCCCCGGCGGCGGCGGGGGCGGCGG